AAACCAAAGTTTTCAGCTCCGACCTCGAGGTTTTAGCCAAATTTTCGTCTCCGACCTCGAGGTTTAAGCCAAATTTTAGGTTCCGACCTCGAGGCTTAAGCCAAATTTTCGGCTCCGACCTCGAGGTTTAAGCAATTTTTGGGACCTACCTCGAGGTTGTAGCCGATAAAATTCGGCTTTTTAACAACACTAGTTAGAACGAGAAAATAACGATGTAAAGATCATATCATGACTATATAAAATTGTCAATAATTAACATGAATACACAAAAATATACACATTGCATATCTATATTATAATTTTCCGATGTCCTCACTACGTCTTCGTGACGTCATGTCATCGCTACGTCATGTCATCGCTACGTCATGTCATCGCTACGTCATGTCATCGCTACGTCATGTCATCGGTACGTATTTATTTTTAATTTTTTTATTTGTTGATTTTATTTATTTATTTTATACAAACAGATAAATGGAATTTCGAGAATTGATGGTGTACACATACCTAACATAAATTGAGATATTTGAAAAATCGTCTTTGAATTGTAAAAACAATATACCCTCAACTTTGTAAATATGAATGAAACTTTTTACTTCACTTAATCCTTTCTTTATTTTTTAGATTACCTTATCAATTTTCATCTCATATTATCAATAACACATCAATGAAATCTCTACAAGATACTCAACTTGTATATATATTTTGAACATATTCACAATTTTTGTCAATACTTACATTACAATTTTTTATACTCATATTTTTCTTTCATAACCAATAATTAAGAAGATAACCAAGTATATTCAAATATTTAAATATTCTTATCCTAACCTATTTATAATCTCCAATCCTTATAAATAACACTTTCTTTATTTTTTTCCCCTCCCTTAATGAATTTATTTATCACTAAATTTTATTATCTCATTCTTATCTTTCTATCTCTATTATCTATTAACCACTATTTCTCAAAACCTTATCAATTCTTTTAATATAATTTTTATTATTTTTATAATATAATAATTTATATCTCTTCCCCCCCCATTTCAATCTTATTTTTTAATTACCTTACAATTAATTAACCTTAATCTTAATAACATTACATTCATCATGTTATTTTTTAACTTTTAGGGCTTGATAAGTCCCCCAAAATTTTTTTTTGATGAAAGCCCTCCAACTACTAGAAATATACATCCAATATTGACCCATCTACCGGTTTTACATTATTTTAATGTTTGTTTAATTTCAACAATAGTTTATTTATATTTTTGTCTGATTTCTTTATTTGTCTAGACTAACCCTAATCCCTCACATTTCTACAAAACATGATGAATCTATTATTAAAGATAAGCAAAGAAAATAATGACGATTAAACAAACGCCTTACCCGTTCTAGAGTTACTGATAGACAAAATAATAAAGAACTACGCTTGAAATGAACTCATCTGGAGGTTTATTTTGTTTTTTTTATCTTATGTTTAAAATCTATGTTTATTTTATTTTCACCCAGTTCTCCAAATTATACTATCACCACTACCACAATCCCTATGCTTCCGCCTATTTTTTAACAAATATAAACATTTAATTCTGTACTATCATTCAATTCACTACGAGTTTATATAAATATTACTTTATCCGATTCTCTGAGAAACTTTCATGAATATTTAGAGGAATGTTCAAACTTGAATGTACAGTACGGCCAATTTCATCAACTTTATTAATGGAAAAATATGCAGTAGTTCTGTCGTGGCCTTTATAACAATATTTACGACCGTTTTATGGTTGAGTTAACATTGTCGTTCATGATTCTATTTTAGAGGGGGATACCAATGCTGACATTGACAGAAATATCGTTTTGCGTTCTTCTTTTACCAGTATCCCAAGGCATCGGCATATCATCTTTATCAGGACGAATGTGTTTTGTACACGCTTTGTTAATCCGTCATCACTTTCATCTACAACCCTAAATGATATAAAATTATACATTAATTATTTCCTCTCCAGACGAGCGCCCAGATTTATTTTGTCGCCTTTTCCATCAAAAATTAAAATGTCAACAAGGATTTGCTCTTAATTTTATCAAATACATAATAAATAATCTTCATTATTTTTTAAAAAAATTATCCTAAATTTATATGCCAATAAAAAAAAATATCTTAAAAAATATATAAATAATTTGCATATAAGTTTCATTAGTGTTTAATAGCATTTTTGTAATTTAAATAGACAGCATTTTTTTTTTACTTAACATAAAAAATATATCCCTTATCAAATTCTTTGACAAATAATTTCAGAAATGCAAGACATACATTAAATTTATCTGAAAAACAACAATAACCCTATATAATAAACAATATATTTTTTAGATATAATTTTAATTGATCATATTACAAAAAAGTATAAGAGTCGGTTATTTTTATTTTATTTGTCATGATTCTCTAATAAGTGGTTGCCCAGGCCTTCCCAGTTTCCCTTAATACGGTATTTACATGTTTTTTTTCCCATATTAGACTAATTGGTAAATCAGATATTTCCCGTTCATGTGATGATATTAAAAATTTAACTATCTCCGAGGCGGAAAAAAATTTTCAAAATTATAATGGGTAGTACTGGGCATGGAACCTCAAAATTAATATTAACTTGCACCTGACTTGGGAATATCTTTTACAAATTATTAAGGGTTGAGCTGGGCTTGATAAACTTTTTTAAAATGATAAGATCTTGATGCTTCCTAATATTGTGAGCTTGAACCTGGCCTGACATCTATCGTATAAAATGAATAAAAATAAAATCTCATTCCCCGTCATTTTTGACGGGTTTTCTACTAGTTTAAAGTATACATTACATAATAAAAAATAATATGCATACTTATGTGTAAATATTTTTTTGATAAATATTTGAATTAGAAAATGAGATGATTTATATAGCAGAATATTGAACTATCAAGAAAAATAACGACATCGTAAAAAATTAAGAACATTTGATGATTGAAATTTGTACAATGCTGCTATAAAAAATTTTTTTGAGAGAAGAATGTATTCAAATTGAATTAAACAAAATTTTTTTTTTATAACCTTGGCTTTTTCATATATTAACCTTTTTATGTATTAACTTTTTATATATAATTTTTTATCTTAACTTTGTATTTAATTCATTTTTATTTTATATAAAACATCGAGATCTGTTGATATTTCTTTTTGTAAAAGTATTTATTGTCTTTAATAAAAACGTTTGCGCTGCGTATCACACTCTTTAGATATTGATATTTATGAAATTTTGAATAATTTCTTTAAAATGAGTGTCTCTATTTAATTTTTAAAGATTTTCCTAATATAATGCTGTTATTAATAAAATATAACACACTCTACAGTTGAGTGTTCAAGTGAGTTTGGCTAAAATTGTCTTCATAGGTAAAGGGGGTGTCTTAATGATAAGCATTTTAAGATTGTCTAATTATTAAAATCTAACAATTATTATTTATAAAATATAAATCGCAATATTATTGTACCCGAATCTCGCAGACATATATAATGGCTAATCATGGAAGACTTGCGCATAACAAAAATTAGATATTAGAGTATTTAATACCACAAAGAATGTGTTCATATTGATTTCTCGCAACCAAAACTTCTGGGGGAACACGCAACAAGAAGGCAATAATGATAGTTTATAAAAAACTTATTGCAGATTTTGACCTGTTCTCAAATTTATTAAATTTAAAATATCTTTTAAAAAACATATAGATCATTGGGAAAACAATAAATTTTTTTAAAAAAAAGAAAGAAAGTTTTAGTTATGATCCGAGTAAACTAAATAATTCTCACAGAAAGAATTTTTAAAAGAGGACACACGATCCCTATTAATTTGCGAGATTTATTTTACGAAATCTTAAAAAAATGAATTTTATTGCTTATTTTTTTTGTTCATTCATATTTTAAGCAATATAATGGTGTAGTTTAACTAAATGGAATTTGTTTCGTTAAATTATATTATTATTGGTGCAATCATATGAATTGATATTATTGTCTTGGTACAATTTTTTTTGCTTAAAATTATATGTGAATTAGAATTTATTAATATATGTTTTCTGAATTATCAACTTATTTTACTAACACTTTCCTAGGCTTCTAAATAAAAGATGGGATGTTGTCTTCTAATGGTTGATTATATTCATTTTCTGTTTTATTTCTTTAGACGAACTTCAATTTATTTTTCATTTCAAATATTATATGCTCTAAAGTTATACTTACATTTTATTTATTTTAAATTTCATTTAACTATATAACGAATACATAAATATATCATATTAGGACATAAAATTTATATATAAATATAAAACAAATTTTATATAAAAGAATTTTTAAAAAAAGAAATTCGCTAAATATAATAAAACGTCGCCCATATATTTTTAAAATAAAAATTTGTATATTAAAGCTTTGATGTTTTGAATTTGATTAATAAATCACGTTTAAAGAAAATGAGTTTATTTTCTTCCAAGCAACTCTCAACACAGTAACTACCATAAATAAATAATTTTTATGTTCTTTGTCATCGAAGAGTTCCCGAGATTGTATTACTAAATTTAGCAAAATATAGAAAATTATTTTTTAAAATAAAATATCTTTAAATGAAATAAAAGGAAGTTGATAATATAGTTTACAAAAACCAATTCTAAATTAGATGAAATCTTGAATCGATTTGATAATACTAATTGTAAAATCAGAAGGTAATATCAATAAGCAAAGGATTCATTATGTTTAATTATTAAAAAGGCAAAACACAGATGCTCAATTTGTGCTCACCATAAGGTGTTTTGGTAGTTCAGAAATTTTAAAAAGCAGTATATTCTGAATATTATAAATCAAAAATTTATATATCCCTGTTTAATATTGTTGAAAACACAAGGTGACATGGATTTATAACAATTATAATAAATAATACTTCATAGTTTGTATATTTTTAATTTTTGTAAAGATATTTTATTATAAGCTTCTCTTCTTACTTAAATTTTAATTCTATGAATCGCGTGGAATAACACAAAACATAGTAATCTTTTTAGAATTAGTATGGCTGCTGCGCAAACTGAGACGGAGTCACTAAATATTGACAGTATCATAGCAAGATTGCTAGAAGGTAAATTTAATATTATTCTTTATCTAAAAAAATATTTTTTTTAAACTTTAGTTAGAGGATCAAAGCCAGGAACAAACGTACAATTAACTGAAGCTGAAATAAGAGGTTTATGTTTGAAATCTCGGGAGATATTTCTTAGCCAACCAATATTACTAGAATTAGAAGCCCCATTGAAAATATGCGGTATATTTTTTTTCTAAATTTTTATTTCATTATTTTTATAGGTGATGTGCATGGCCAATATTATGACTTATTACGGTTATTTGAATATGGTGGGTTTCCACCAGAGAGCAACTATTTATTCTTAGGTGATTATGTTGATAGAGGTAAACAATCTCTTGAAACAATATGCCTTATATTAGCATACAAAATTAAATACCCTGAAAACTTTTTCTTATTACGTGGTAATCATGAGTGTGCCAGTATCAATCGAATTTATGGATTTTATGATGAATGTAAATGCATAATTAGATTTATCATTCATTATGCTTTTTTAGGTAAAAGAAGATATAGTATAAAATTATGGAAAACATTTACAGATTGTTTTAATTGCCTGCCAGTATCTGCAATAATTGATGAGAAAATATTTTGTTGCCATGGAGGTAAGATGTTTTCCTTTATTATTATTTTAGATTATATATTGGGTTTAGTAAATTTATAAAATATAATGCATGAATATATTTAACTGTACTTTATTAATTTAGTGTTTTTTGATTAGAAGATATCATTTATATTTCATTAAGATTTTTTAATGAATCATTGCATGCCAAATAAATAATTAGTTTTTTAGATTTTTTATAATACCACTTTTATTCAGAAGTTCAATGATGTTTTAAAATATACTAATAAACAAAAAACATTTAACTCATAAATTTAGGTACACATTAAGGCATTAATTGATAGAAAAATAAACGATCCTCAAATTTCTAAACAATTAAGGGTTTTTTTTTCCTATTTCTTTTTACCTTTAAAATTTTGTTACAGGATTAATTATGGCTACAATTTTCTTTAGTATTGAAAGACATTTTTATTCTTAAATTAATAATCAAAAAATATTTTTGTGGAAAAGCAGATTATTTTTATGGATTATACTTTAAAATTTTTTGGTGTCAATATATCTGCATTTATTTAAACAATGTACTTTTAATTTAGAGTTGTATTTTAACATGTTTAAATTTTATTACCCTAGTGATATTCTGTCAAATTGTTCATAATCTGGCTTACCCCTTTTGATTTTTTACAAAAGTTATCATACTAAGTAAGGTTAGGTAACCTATATTTGGGCAAAGTTTTAGTCTCTTAGCATTATACTTTTTATATCAGAGATGGAAGCATAAAATGACATTTTTTGTTAGTCAGTTTTCATTTAATAATTTATAAAAATGCATGAAATGACATTTTTTATGAGTCAGTTTTTATTTAAATAAAAACTATACACTTTTATTGTAATTGTAAATAATAGATTTATTATAAAAATAAAACATATTTAATAAATTTAGTATTAAAATATAACATTTAATATAATCAAATTTTAAGCAACATTACTATTAGCATCAAATTTTTTTTAGAGATGTGATCAGTTTAATTTAAATCAATAAAAACTAGTCTAAAATGGGCAATATTTTACAATCTAAAAGGTTCCTATCAACATCTTCAATGTCTAGCCTGTGGACAAGGCTTTGGGGTGCAGTTTGAGGTGGGCTGTGCAGAATCTTAACATAAAAATATGACAGGTTTTTTTATTGATTATTGTTATTAATCAAGAAAATTATTTATGGCATATTTTAAGTAATGGAGACCTGTGTAGCTCACAGGCAAATCATAAAATTATGGGCTAGGCTAAGTAAATAAAGTGATTAAAAGGAAAAAATTAATAGAGACATTTATGTTATAGCTTTATATCATAAAATAAATTAAGTTTGTTGAAATATAAAAATATTTTTAAAAAAATACCAACAAATATATGCTACACAATTTATACATTGAATTTGTTAATATTTAATAAAGGCTACTGGCCATTATGTAAATAATTCTCTTAAGTTTAGATTTTATATCTAAAATTCTGCAAAATATTTTGCATTAGGTCTGACTCATTTAATTTTTAACCCAGCCCAGGCTGAACTGTGCAGCTAATAGTTAAAATATGTCATAAATAAATTGGAGATTAATCGATAAAAGAACCAACACAATATTTTTATCTTAGAGATCTATGTAGCATGACATTAAAAATGATGTGATAGCCTTTTAGATTTAATATTAAAGAAAATATTATATATAAACATAATCAATCATTTAGTGGAAGAATACCCATCTTTAGTATAAAAAGCTCATTCTTTATTATTTTTTTTATCGATTTTACCTATGATATAGTAAATCTCTGATATTTTTGTATTCAATGTTTGTCTAAAATTTTATTAAAATTGGATCTGCCCATTTTTCTTGACGAGATTTTTAAATATTGTTTCAGGCAAAATATTCCCAATAAATTAAAAAAATATTAAGAATTTATTATTTACTGTGTAGGTTTTAATCAATCATTAATTAAATGTAGCTGACACTCATAAAGAACCACATTTTTGCTCTACCCCTGATATCTCCAAAATTATATTAGCTAGGTTGAAATTTTCTCCAAATATAGGATTTTGATCCATTTGACAAAGGCCTTCTATTTTTATGTCATATTAAATACCTTGAAACACCCTATTAAAAATTTTGCTCTGTATTTTAACATATATTAGAAAGCATTAAATATTATCAACTTATGGATTAACAATTAAATAATATCTTTCAATAATTTAGAATATTAATAAGACAATAACAGCAATAATTGAAATACAAAAACATATTTTGCCTTTTGATTATTGAAATTATTAACCCATTAATGCTGTTCCTGCATATCAATTTTTATATATTCCATATTCTTGTGATAAGAAATCTTGAAACGATCAGCTTTTATTTTAACAGAGTTTCACATTATAAATTTTATATCATGTATGATACTTTTACCATTACACATGTCTAAAGATTTCAATTAAAAAATTTTTTAAACAATTTATTTTTAATAATCTTTATAATGAAAATATTATTTAAATGTTAGCTAGAATTTATATAAATTTTTAAAGTATGAAAAGGAATTTGATAATTTTCAAAGAAAATCAGGATTGAGTTGGTAATTTCTCTCTCTTTTTCGTTTTCTATCATCAATCTTGGATAAAAAGTCTCACTTTATTTGTCAAGAAAATTATTTTGAGCATAAATTTATTAAGTTTTCCAGGTCACAATATGTTTTTGGCCACATAAGGCACCAGAAAACGATCCAAACTAATTTCACCAAATTTTGCTTGAGGCATCTTTTTTCAAATAAGGGGAAGGGATAAGGCAAGATCACTGGTCAAAACATTCTATGGAAAATTGTGAGATACTAAAAAATATTAAAATTCCTATTAGTCTTTTTAGCATTGGAATAATTTAATTAGCTATTATACATTTGATTTGTACAAGAATAGGTATCCTCATCAAAAAAATAAGGGGAATAATTGTGAAGAACCTTCAAAAATTAACACTTAAATCGCATTTTTACTAATTGGAAAAGACAGGTGCATAGCCAAGAATTTGCTTTGGAGGTGGATAATTTTTTTAATTATATAAAATGAACATCTAAAATTTCGTAAATTTATTATGACTAGTGACTAAAAATATTGATAATTTCTAATACTATATAAAGTTATTAAATATAATTGCGTGCTGGAAAAAAAATGTGCAAAATTATGAACTTTTTGAGTATTTGAAAGGTGTATAAATTTATAAGAATTATTGATTTGGCACAATTTCTAATATATAAATTTTATTTGAGATTGAATACATTAGTGAATATACAAAAATATTCTAAAAATATATTATAAACCGGAAAGGTTTTTATTTACAAAATATATATGCAATCTTCTTTGAGCTAATTTTTCAATGATTTTTAAAAGGGCTAACGCATTCAATATTTTCTGAGGTATCATTATATACGTTTTAAAGAGACTACTCTAGACCTAATTAGTATAAAAGGATAATTATGACTAAATAGGGCTATGTGTCTCCTTGAATTTAATATATTCTATTTAACTTTGAAATTATAATTTCCCAGTTGTCAAGGCACTAGTTTAATTAGAAACTATAATTAATGGATTGTGATACTAATAGGTTTGATATCATATTAACATTTAAAATCCTAAAATATAATTCCAGGTCTAAGCCCAGATCTCCAAAGCATGGAGCAGATCCGTCGAATCATGCGTCCCACTGACGTCCCAGACCAGGGCCTGCTATGCGATCTATTATGGTCTGACCCAGATAAAGACACCATGGGTTGGGGCGAAAATGACCGAGGCGTGTCCTACACATTCGGAGCCGAGGTGGTAGCTAAATTCCTACATAAACACGACCTAGATTTAATTTGCCGAGCTCACCAGGTTTTTGTTATTACCTTTTATAAAAACACCTTTGTGATGTATGCAATACTAAATAAAATTGATATAGTACACGATCACATTTTTTAATATCTGAATTGGTCAAGGTTGAGACCAGGCCTTGCTCAATTTTTTTTTGAAATGAATTTAATATTAGATGCAAAAATCCCCCCAGTGCAAACAAACTGAGAAATGTAATATCTAACCTTTTTAGTTTTACACTTGTCCTTAAATTATCGCAAGGCAATATAAATATCAATATAACGTGATAAAAATATCTTTCATTATAAGTTAAATGTGAAAAACATGCTCAGGACCATTTTTTCTATTGGACGAGTGATATTTAAATTAAATTCTTAAGATTTGATAAGTTATAATAAGGATAATGCTCGTTAGGAAAATTACATAACTGTATTCAAATTTTAAGTTCCAAACTTGTATTGAACAAATAACCTCTCACATATCAGATGAAATCTGCTTTTATTTATATTAGCATCGGAAAGAGTTTTTTTATTAGTTAAATTTATATTATCGTCTCCTCTTAGTCTTGTTTTTTTAAAATATTGTTTGTGTTCGTTTAATATGCATCTTATTTTGTTTTTTTAAGAAATTTGATATTTATGACAAAAATATATTGCTTAGGTAATAATTTTATAATGATGAAAATATAAATCCCAAATTTTTAAACATATCGAAATAAATTTCGAGATCGATGCAATGCTTAATTTCTAGTATAAATATTTTATATTCAATATAATTTATGAATCGAAGGGAATTAATTTTTTTGGTTAAGTTTTATAAAAAAAGGTTGCAATTTTACAGAAACCATTTTACCGATTTTTATCTTTAGATTTTTAAATATATGATTTTAATACCTCGAAACATGAGTAATTTTTAATAAGTTGAAAAATATTGACGTCAATTATCATTTTTTTTTCAAAAAACTTTTTCTAGAATTAATGATTACTATTTACAACATTCACATACATATAAACAAATATAATTTTCATTGCACTCAAATTTCCTTATTTAACTTTGAAAGTATTTTTTTTAACTTAATTTTATTATTTTTAAAATCGTATTTATACATCTCGTTTTCTCCCTCAGAAGATTATTACGCCACAGAATTGTATAATATTATATTTTAGGTTTTAAGTATCTATACATAAATTTTTTGTAAACTATCTTATAATTTATTAAAAAATCTTTTCCTTCTTGAAAATAATTTCAACTAATTAAGAATTTTAAGCTAGTTATTAAATTATTGAAGTTTTTAAAGCGAAAAGCATTTAACCTTTTCCTTTCTCTAAATGATAGATTAAATAATTTTCCGGGGAAAAATAATCAAAAATTCTTTCCCTCTTCAACGATGGTTTTCAGTTAGAAACGCTTGCTTTTCAAAAATTTCATTTAAAAAAAAATATTTTTCCTATTATTATTTTTCATTTTTTGAATTTATTAAATATCTTTATAATATAATTCAAAAATGATAAAAGATTTTAAATTGGCTAAAACTCATTTCAATTTAGTGTTATTTGTTTTGTTAAATTTAGTTCATTTAAAATATCATCCTCTGGCTATTATATTGCTCTAACTCCACTTTTATCAATTTCACAACAGCTTTTTTTAAAAAAGGCTATATACGGCGAATTTTAACTAATACAATGATAACAATTTTTTTCCATAAGGTTGTTGAAGATGGTTATGAATTTTTCGCTAAACGACAGCTAGTAACCTTATTTTCGGCCCCTAATTATTGCGGAGAATTTGATAACGCCGGTGCCATGATGTCTGTCGATGAGTCACTCCTTTGTTCTTTTCAGGTATAATTCAATGATAGTATTATGAATTTCAATATTTTATTTTTAAATACTAATTTTGATCAACGTAAAGATATTGAGATAATTAGTTTATAGTTTTTATATATATCATATTTATTTATTTTTATAGTCATAATGATAAAATCTAGTGCTGTAAACATTTTTAAAAAAATCGAACGCGTTCGCGTTCAACGTTCATTGACAAAAATCGAACGCGTTCACGTTCAAATTCAAAAAAAGGAACGCGTTCAAGTTCATGAACGCGTTCATACGTTCAAGTTCATGAACGCGTTCATACGTTCAAAATTTTATGATAAATTTTTTTTTAAATTTAATTTAATATAAATAAATGCCTTATATTTTTCAACACAATATATTAGCCATGATAAAAAATAATAGTTTTATTTTGATAATATAATTATAAATACAATATAATAGAGCGATAAAAAAATAAATTTATAAAAAATTTTTCTTATTAATTTTTAATAATAATTGCTTTTCAAAATTTTCATCTGATAGGCATGAACGCTTGTTAGTTAATACAGCGTTAGCTATACTAAAAACTCGCTCAACAGGGGCAGATGAAGGGATTGCGGTGTTATACTTGATAAACAATTCTTTTAAAAGGGGGAATTTATTAAAAACATTTAATGTTTTATCCTTTGTTTCAAAAAATTGAGCTATGTTATCATCCTCCAATCTGCCCTCTTCTTCCTCGTCAAAAAAAAGGATATCTCGGAATTGATTTTAAAACAGTGAAATATTTTTGATATTTGGGCCATGGTAATTCTAATTCATCTAATATTGAATTTTGATTTTCAGAATCTGATGATGAAATATTTATATCCATGCAAATGCTAATCTATTAAATTAAAATATAAAATATTCAAATTAATAAACTTTAATCTTATCTTCTCTAGCAGTAGCACTATGGTACGTTAATTGCAATATGAAAAAGGAAAAAGTAATAACAGCTGATTTACAAATATAAGACTTTTTTGTTAAAAAATTGGATTAAATATTAATTTTTCAAATAAATAAAAATATAAGACTTTTTTGTTAAAAAATGCGGATTAATATTAATTTTTCAAATAAATAAAAATAAAAAGTGTTTTTAAAATTGAACGAACGTAAAATTGAACGCGTTCATCAAAGAAAAGGAACGCGTTCACGTTCAAAGTTCGTCAAAAAAAAGGAACGCCGTTCATCACCTTTTTTCAAAAAAACGAACTTCGTTCACGAGCGCGTTCATTTTGAACGCGTTCGTTTACAACACTAATAAAATCTATTTAATGTTAAGAATATTATAATTTTAGGACTGAGAACCCTTGTTCTAAAAAAGCCTTCAGATTGAAAAATGTCTGAACCAGGCAGGATTCGAAGCAAAATAAAAACTTAGAAACGCTAGTTTTTTGAATTTATTTTATTAAATTCAGTATTTACCACATAAAAAGTTTATCATCATAATTATAATAATATGTTATATTTGTATTTTAAACATATTTGATCGAATTATGATATCTTCCAAAATCACTGAGAATACCATATAGGCAAAATATATTATAAGTATGAAAATGCTCGTTCAACACTTGAAAAATAATGTTCATACATTATTTAAATTAGATAAACTAGCCACTCACTCTTTTAAAGAAAACATATCTTGTTTAACAGGACATCCTTATAGCTAAAAGAATAACCCAGATTTTAAAATTAAAATATAGATTTAAGTAGCCCAACCTAACTCTTATGTATTTAATATAACTATTTTACCTCCTTGATTTCGTTTTACTTTTTTAATAATTTAAAAAAAACGACAAATATTTCTAAAAGATATTATTTATTAGTGCTTAAGAATTGAATACATGGTTCCGTTTTGCAGTCGGTCTACATTTCGGTTCGGGTTGGACTGTATAATTAGGAATAGAAAATTATTCAATCCGTTTTAAAGAATCAAAAATATTCCTTTTAAAATTTATATTTGTTTTTGAATGGCCCTAATTTAAACTATGATTTAAATGTTTTGATTTTGCCACTTTTGGGGGTATATTATTTTATTATTTTATTTTTTTTATGTTATTTTTTTTTAAAATATATATCAATTTTTATTTAAGATATTTTATAAAAGTTTTCTACATAATTTTTACATTTTAAATTATTTTTGGTGATAATACTATAATTAAAGGAAGATTAATATATCCTTTTATATTTAAATTTTTTATAAAGTTTTTTCTACAAAATTTTTGATAAATAAAATTTTGCATTTTAAATTTTTTTGGTAGATGAACTTTGCATTTTAATTTTTTTTTGGTTATAATACTGTAATTAAAAGAAAATTAATATATCATTTTACATTTAAGATTTTTTACAGTTTTTTTAAAAAATTTTTGGTAGATGAAACTATGTCTTTTAAATTTTTTTTGGTGTTAATATTTTAATTAAAGGAAGATCACTTTAGGAAAATTACTTTTTTTTGTTATAATACCTACAAAGTTTTTAAAGTGGGCATAGGAATAAGGTAAATTTTTGGTAGATGAAACTTTGCATTTTAAATATTTTTTGGTGATAATATTATAATTAGAGGAAGATCCCATAAATAAAAAAATTTTACAACTTTAAGAAAATTACTTTTTTTGGTTACTATAATTAAAGGAAGATCCCATAAATAAATTTTTTTAGCAACTTTAAGAAAATTACTTTATTTTGTTGATAATGCCTACAAAGTTTTTAAAGGGGGCATAGGGGTAAGGTAAATTTTTGGTAGATAAAATTTTGCATTTAAAATTATTTTTAGTGATAATACTATAAATAAAGGAACATCTCATAAATAAATAAAATTTGGGCTCCATTAGGAAAATTAGCATAACATTTTTCTGGAAATAATTAATAATCTAAAATTTTGTATTATAGGTAAAAGACCCCAACTTTGAAGTTTAAATGCTTTTTTTAACATTTGTAGTGAAGGGTTAAGTCGAAATATAGTATTAAATGACGCAATTAAATATAGTATTAAAATTTATACATGAAATATGTATTAAATGACTTATTGCATCGGTTTTACAAACTCTTCTTGTTTTTTTACCCGCATTATGGAATTGCAACAAGTATGTTGTATTCCTGACGGTATTAATTGGTTATTTAAACCAAACTCATAAGTTGTTTCATCATTTTAAGTATATACATCTATTTACTATAAAAATATTCATTTTATAAAAAAACAAAAAATAATATTAAGTTTGTATGGAAGGAATTATATTATATATACATAATCTAATAATAATAGGAACTATGAATAATCGGAACTAAAAATTATTTTTTAAAAATTTGTAGACAAAATTCTCCCCCCCCCCCCACCCCCATACATAAACGCTGATAATAATCGGAATTGAGAATTCTGATATTTTACCCCTATTACAAAATTTTAGATTATTATATTTTCCTAAAGTTGCTTAAATTTTATTTATTTATAAGATCTTCCTTTAATAATATTATTATCACCAAAAAAATTTAAAATGCAAATTTCATTTACCAAAAATTTACCTTACCCCTATGCCCCCTTTAAAAACTTGTAGGCATTATCAACAAAAAAAAGTACTCAAAGTTGCTAAATATTTTTTTATTTATGGGATCTTCCTTTAATTATTATAGTATTAACACCAAAAAAAAATTGAAATGTAAGTCATCTACAAAAATTTTGTAGAAAATACGTTTTTAAAATATCTTAAATAAAAATTGATATATTAATTTAAAAAAAAATAACAAAAAAAATAATATACCCTCCTAAAGTGGCAATAATTAATATTTTCTTATAAATATATTTTGCATATTAATTAATTATCTTTACTGGGTTATTTGGCAATTTAAACAACTTCAGTTCCTTGGGAACAATTATTTTCTATTATAAGGCTAAGCCACAATTTTTAATATCTATTCATTGTGTTTATTTTTTATTTAATTATACACATTATTTCAAAATGCTACAAAAATTGATTTGGATTTAAAGTAACTAAGAAGTGAATATGTGTAATTGAGTCATTGACTCAAAAATTGAATATTCAAAAATTGAATATTTTGGAGGAAATTTTCAATCGCATCTTATTGAAGATGATATTATAATTAAAAATTATTGTTACTGTTGTGTGTTATTTATTCAATGACATACAATATTTACCTAGACTGACGATTCATTCACTAAAATTAATTATCAGCTGGTGACACAATTTTGGTTTGGTATAGAACAATTTTATAAATGAAATGGATTTTTTTAAAAATAAATTTGTATATTACAGGAATCGTTAATATTTATCATATTCTTTTTTACCTATATTTGCGATTGAATTTTTTAAAAAAATTTGAGGTATTTAAAACCAAAGTTATATAGAATGTGTTCCCTAGTTTGGTACGATCTTGGAAAATCGGTTTTAGCTGAACAATGTAGTTGTAAAAATTAATTTTTAAACATAAAATATAATAAAATTAATTCTACGAATTCAAATATTTTTATTAATGAAAATTATTCCTGAACTATAGCTCTAAATTACTCAATAGCTCGAGTCCCCTGAAAAATTTGAAGAGCCCCCTCAAAATTTTGATTTTTTTACCACTAAAAAAGGTAATTTTAGATAATGTTAGCTAAAAAACTGTAATTTTGAAAATTATTTTAAAAATTTTTTTGAGCCCTTTGAGATTGTAAAGGCTAGTGGCATCCCTAATTCCAGGTGCAGTAAAATCTCGAGGGTTTGGATTCTCGGTCCTGTATATCATTATTTTCATGTTCTTAAATATAAAAAAGTTTTAAAAGCAATAAAAAAAATTATTCTAAAAGTACATTCCAAAATGATTAATTAATGTTTCATATATTACAACATTTATTATTGAAGATACTGAAACCTGCTGATAAAAAGAAATTCAATTATACTAGTCTTACGGCAAGTCGCCCTCAAACCCCTCCTAAGGCCCAGAAAAAGTGATACAGATGACACCATATTCGATATCACATCAATCAATTATATCTTATATAATTTTTTTTATAAATTCTTTTATAAACTACACCGACTATTCCATTTGTTATAAAAATGTTTTTTAAAATTCATTATTTTAATTATTTTTTTCCTACTCCTCATTTTTATCAAGTACAAATTGTTTTATTTCAATTTTGCATTCATTAAATGCCCTTAAAAATTAGTTATTGTTTTTATAATTCCATTCCTCGTTTTTTTTATCAAGTTTAATCAAATTTAATGATTAGGCCAATCTTTTTATTATATTATAGGAAATATATAAATTCATTATAAATATTCCTCAAATCTCATTTTAAAATCTTGACTCTTTACTAATTAAAAACATTTGAAAAGCTTTAACTATATATTAAAACTTCAACAAAAAAAGACTTCTAAGGTCAACTTGTTTTTAAAAATTATATTTGAATTATTTGTTGTTTAGGAGGAGGAATTTTTTGACGCGAATATAGTGTAGATGACAATTTTATGACGTGCGAAAATCTTTAATTTGGTATCGAGACAATAAAATTATTTTCATCTATTTGTGAAAATCTTATAATATACTCATTTATATTTTTTATGTTGGATCTAATTTTTATACTTTTTTGAAACATGTATAATGAATTTTGAAATGATAAAAGCAAGCAACTTTATAAAAATTATATTTTTATATTTATTAATGTTATATCACTGTTTTTAGGCTTAATTTTAATTAAATAAAGATTGTATAATATATACTATATATTTAAATTATATATGTATATCCACACAAGCCCCCTTTCCTTCCCCCAATATTTTTGATGTTTTGAAGTAAATTAATAAAAGGAAAACATTTATAAAAACTTTGTTTTAGAATAAACGATTAATGCTATAAGGTATAATCAGTGGCAGGCAGCGTCTACGCTACAAGATATTAACTGGAAGCAACCCTCCTTAAAAACCTATGCTTATGCCCAAAAAATTTTCGACAACGATATTTATAGCACTACATATATTTGAAAGTTATCAATACTCCATTACCAATTGTAAAGAATGTAGAATAGAAGATAAATAATTACAAACCCCTCATTTACAATGAATGCATTATTATATTGTTTGGCATGAATATGAATTTGCTGATAATAGGATGCCTGACCCTTTTAAATTACACTTAAAAGGATAGCAAAAAATTATCGAGAATTAAGTTTAATTAGAAAATAATGACTGGTTGTATGCAATATATAAATTTGGACTATGTTTCAATATAATAATAATTATTATAGGTCTATAAGTATTAAATAATTTTTACAATATATTTTGCCTGATTTCATCTAAAAATTTAATAGATAACCCTCCAATGAATGTATACTACCTTTAACCTATTCCTCTTAATTCCCTATCCCCTACCCTTTAAAAAACTGGAAACGAACTTTTCACTTTTGTCTTAAGACTTTTTTTTGGCTTATATTCCATTTCTTAAAAAAACATTTTTGGTTCAATTTTTATATATAAAAATGCTTTTTTCCAAAAATGTAATGATGAATAGTTTTATAAAAAAATATCAACTTTTACATTCTTTCTTTCAAATTATTGTTTAAAATATATGCATACATTTATGGGGGTCAGGAGTGAGGGTAGGACTAAGTGGGATATTTTTTATTAGCTTAAAATGATATTCACAAAAAGTGATAAATTTCATAAGGGGGGGGGGAATTAACAATTTGCATTCAATTATTTAACGCCATTTATTTATTTTTTAAAAAAATGATATAAATAATTAATCTTCATATTATTCATCCCACAATGTCTTTAAAAGATATTTTCTGATGTCCTTATCAATTATAACTGTATTATTATCTTTAACCAATAGTGTTAAGCATTTTTCTCTAAAAATATAAGAAATAATAAAAATATGTCAACAAGTCATTAAATAGATCCTGGCCGAAGTCCGGGTAAAAACCGATCAAAGGCCCTCGAATGGTGGTATGAGGCGAAGCTCTTATATAAATGGCTGCTAGTAAATATTTGCCCACGAGGCCACAGTATCGCCAGTCCGTTCCTGCTATTGCTATTGGTTTATATTGATATTTGTATAACTTCCAATTGTTAATGTAAAAGAGTAAAATAGGGATTTTAAAAAACCTTGTTTAAATAAATATGAAATAGTGATTAAAAAAAACCTTAATTTTATTTTAAACAAATATATGGTTAAAAACTATGAAGTAATATTATTTTAGAGAACTCAACCTAGATATTTTTCCTGATTCATTTTTAAACTAAAATTCATAATTCTGAAAAAGATATGAAATTGAATTGAAAAAAATAAACAGCATGTTTTACAAACCTTTATTCAACACAAAACATAAGAAAAAAGTGTAAAAAATTAGAAAGGAAACAATTATATATTTTTGAGATTCTCCATACGCATCCAACTCTTTAGGTATAGACATTCTTAGATAGTAAGCACACCTAGTGAAATACATTGATCAGTTTTAACATAACGCCCCTCTTAAAACATCTTTTCAGAGCTAATCGAGGTTTCTGGAATTGCCAGATAATCTTTGGAAATTTTTAAAAAATATGATATATATTTTAGTGTAATTTCCACCATTCGAGGGGATTTATATCTTTGAAAATGGGGACTGTATCAATATATTAACTTATTCCAATTGAACTATTATTATCATGGCTCGATTTGATATATTTTCTCAAAAAAGGTAAATTTTTTTTTGATTTACTTTTTATTTCATCTTCACAGATAAATTGAAATTATTATTTATTTTGTATTATTTTTCTGTTAAATATTTTATCAGAGTTTTGAAGTATTATCCTATAATAAATGTTATGAAATTTTGAAACGTGGGTCAATTATTGTGGATATTATATATAGGTATTTATCAAAAATACAATATTACTCAAGTTTTGCTAAAGCAGCTAAGGAGGCTTATGTAAAATAATGTTTGGATTATTATTATTATAGATCTATAAATGTTCGAATAAACTAAAACATAAATGAATAATTATTCAAATTGATGGAGTTTTATCAGACGAGGTCATTTCTGTAGCAAAATAAAACGGTTCCAGAAACTCTCAAGGTTCATTGTTAAAATAAATTGATAAGTATGGCTTCAACAATATTGCCCTTTCAAGCATTAAATAGTATGAATTCCAACGAGTGGAACATTCAAAATTGGGTGAGGAAATTTGAATGTAGGATTTAAGTTACATGTGGTTCATTTGAATCTCACGCTCTATAAAAAAATTATTCAAAAAATATGACAAATGTTTTGTGAAATCATAGGCGATCAAAATGGAATTTTAAATTTTGGTAAAGAAGATCTATTAAATTTCCCAATTCAACTGCATTTTTATAGTGTTCATTAAGTCCTCTTGATGTATTAACTTAAATAGTTTTGGTCTTTTAATGATTTTTCTGAAATATTGTTTTATTTTATAGAGATATATTTATTAATAGATAATATATTTTACCTCTTATTTTTTTCCACCAATAAACTTTATATATATCTAATAAAATTCTAATAAAAATATGCTGCTATAATGGATTTGTTTTTTTAGATTTAAATATATAAAATTAACTTGCCACGTGACGTCATTTACAAACATCACTTTATTATTATTCTCTCCATTTTGTGAAATCAACTATTCTCCATATTGAAAAATTTCTCGTAGGAATTCCTGAAATATTGCAAATTATCTTTATAGAAGTTGAAGTTTTAGGAACATATAAGGTTAAAACTTAAATCATTTACTGCGTATTACCAATTTTTTTTAAACATTTTGTATTAAATATATGCAAATTATACACTGTTATGTCAAACTTAGAAATTAAAAAAATAAATTTAAATTCAGCTTCATTATGTAAAAACGAGTAACTATATTTATCTTTAAAATAAACTCGTTAATCTGTTGAGAATTTTTATGCTTCCTTTACGAATAGGGAATATTTATTCATATTTCAGTTGTCAAGAATATAGCGAATAATTAAATATACGAAGCACAAGTTATTTTATTAGAAATTTATAATACTTTTAAATCATAAAGATTTCTGAATTAATAATAATTTTTATTCATATCTATGAATTTAAGGCAAATAATATAAGTCCATTTTTTAGTATTGGTTAATTGATATTCAATAAAAAAAAAGTAATATTAGCAACCTTAGATTAAATATTTAAAAGAAAATTATATAATTTTCTAAGGAATGTCAAAAATTTTGAAATAATAATTTACTCAAAATTGTTGTCTTTAAAACCTATATATTAAAATTGTTTGATTATTTGCATAATATTTATTATCAAAAAATATTAATATTAAACCATATTAGCAAAAAAGCTATTCCTCAAATTTGACCTTGTATAAATAATGTTACCTAAATGTGGAACAATAATTTTTAAAATTTAAAAAGAATGCTTTCAAAATTATGAAGATAATAAATTTGAATTATTTTATATGATACTTTCAGTTAGATCTTTAAGCAAAAAATTAGCAGGCACAAAATGCTATTAAACTAAAGTTTTTAAGTGTTGCAAATTGATTTATAAGTTGTTATTTGCAAATATCTAGATTTTCAACTTTTCAAATTGATACCTCAACTAGAAATTTTGGGGTCTATAATTGTTATTTTCTGTAAATGTCCATTTAGTATAGAAAGTAAATAAATTTTAGTATAATGGCATTAGAGAAGCAATTGAGGTCTTGTTCTCTGTCAAAATTCTGCTCCTAATTTTCAAAAACAAAAATTACTAAGGCAGACTGTTATATATTAACCTTCAAAAAATAAATTTTAAATATAAATATATAATTAGAAAAATATTTTGATATTGCAAGCACCATATTTTCATCGTTATTTCCAAGATTCGAGTAGCAACCAAATTTGGAACTCTTGTTCCTTATCACATTTATTTAATAAGGCATTTATTAAGTTAACATTTACCCTCTATTGTGCTCTCAAAAATATAAGCAATCAATACTAATATTATGCTACTTTTTATACTAAATTTTAATATTTTTATAAACAATTAGTTGTAATGATAAATAACATTTATCATAGGAAATAATAAAAAAGAGTCAATTCAAAATAGTAATTTTTTAAAGAAAAGATTTCTCAATATGGTAATTAATATGATTATATTAATACATAGTGTGTTATTATATCATCTTTGTAATTTGCTTCTGATATTTTACTGTATTTAGTGGTATGTGTATTAAAATATGATCTAAACAATAGAGGGTTTATATGAAAAATTTTAAGATATATTAAAAAAAATTTATTAGAATTTTTATAATCTCAAAAGAAGATATATAAGAATGCCTTAAATATGTATTTCATAATATGATAAAAATAAAAATGTATAAAACTTTGCAGAAACTAGTTTGGCTTTAAATAGTAGATTACTGGAAAAATCAGGTCAGTATATCTACATGCTTTTTTATATAGACAAAAAGCTATTGCTACTTTCCACTATACCACTCAGCTATGTTTAAATCTATTTAAAATTATGCTAAAAACAAATAATCATATTCAAAATTATGCCAAGAACATAACATGATTATCTTAAATAAAAGTAAAATTTCCATGTTTATAAATTAACCTTTTTAAATCTGTGAAGCTTAAGGTTTTAGCTATCCTTTCACTTGCTATTCACATGTATTCAAAGAATCACAAACTAACATTTTACCCTTTTATTTGCATTTATGATATACATTAATAAGCATGACCTAAATTTGTTACCATAAAATATTATCCTAATTTCATGGCCAAAAATTTGCTACCATAAAATATTGTCATAATTTATTAACTAAATCTAATTTTTTTAAATAGGATTTGGTCTCAAAATTTTTTAAAAGCTAGCAAACTGATTCTGGTTTCAGTCCTGCTAGAAGTTAGATAATTATTAAGAAATATATTTTTCCAAAAATACCCTAATTTGAAAATTCTAATTCACGCATTTGTAGATGAGTGACTCAAGAGGGTAAATAATCATATTTAATACTTTAAAAAATAATTCTCTTATATTTTTATGGCAAGTTAATAAATGTAATTACAAGAGATGGAAATTATATTCTAATTAAAAGTTAATGACCTAAAGTCTCGTTAGGGTTAATTGATATAATGTGAAGCCATTAATCCATTTTTAATAATCAATTAACCCCAAGATAATGTAAGATATTCTTTAAGCTAATAACTTATAGCGTGATGAAGAGACTTTATAATCCATTAAGCTATTTAAAAATGGAGAATACTATATTAAAAACAAAGTTCTAAGTGTAAATTGAATTATTTATAAAAATGCAATATAAAATTCTTAATATATTTTTCCAAACATTATTTACAATGAAAATATAAATCTCTGGGTTCAGTTCAAATTCCTGAAAACATTGGAATTGTAATTTAAAATCGTTTTTCAACTACTAAAAATTTAGGCCATTATGAAATTTTTATGCCAAATGAAAGTTAACTCACCTAGTTCTTTTCTAAGCATACCTAAGACAAAAAATGCATATATAAAATCTTCAAAATCTAAAATGGCTAGTATATAAAAGCCAGTGTTCTAATTTCTAAAGGGAATTCAGTCAGAAGCTTCAAAAAAGTAATGAACAGTTTTAGGTTCCATATTGTCTTTTCTTATAAAACATTTTATTAGATCTTAGGCATTAGTAACATGATTTATAATATTTTAGATAAACATTAATTATTAACCTAAAAGTTAGATTTTTTTTAGATATTAAAAAAATATTTCATATATGAATTATTTCTATTAGTGCCAATGTGTCCTGAAACCATTGAAATAATAGATTAAGAGAAGATCAATAAAATTGAATATAAAAATTAATAATATCAATGTATTTTCAAAATTTTACTCTTAATTTTTTATTTAAAGTTTAATTTTTTTAAAATCGTTTAAAGAAACATTTACATTGTTGCTTATATGATAGTTTGCCACATTAATTATTAAGCTAAAAGTTAGATTTTTTTAGATATTAAAAAAATATTTTATATATGAATTATTTCATATATGAATTATTTCTATTAGTGCCAATGTGTCCTGAAACTATTGAAATAATAGATCAAGAGAAGATCAATAAAATTGAATATAAAAATTAATAATATTAATGTATTTTCAAAATTTTACTCTTAATTTTTTATTTAAAGTTTAATTTTTTTAAAATCGTTTAAAGAAACATTTACATTGTTGCTTATATGATAGTTAGACTCAAAATATCTTCTTTTTTTTTATCTATTTAAGATTTATAATCTTGGTTAATTTATGCACTAAAATTCTTTAAACTATTTTCACTATTTAATTCTTATCCTAATTTTATTTACAAACCAAAATACAAATCATTTAATTCATGTGAAGATTAATTTTCGGAATACAATCAACTCAAATTATCATCGTTTTAAAAATTGTGATTATTTGGGATATCTGTTTTTATTGACTCATTTAATATATATTAGTTCTAATCTTGTCTAAATTGTATAATAAATATCCATTTGTAGAATACATTTTAAATCAACCAAGAATTAGATTCTCAACTTCAAATATTTGATATATAAGAAAAAATTTTAATCTCAGATTATTTTTCTTACGGAGATGAACTAGGAAATGTGTCAAAGTGCTCTTCATTTACTTTAAAATATATCGATAAATGTGAATTATTTGTGAGATGTATAATTTAATTTTTTTTTGGCTTTTCAAAACTCCTTTTTGATTTATATTACGTTTTTAGTTATCATTAAAAAATTTTAGTGAATTTTTAATAAGTTAAATATTTATATTATAACATTATAGATATCATTTTTATATTTGTTACACTCGTTCCACTCACTAAATAAAAATTGTTATCTACCTACTCCCAAATGCTATATTTCACCTACGCCTTATTTAATCCTGATATTAAAAAATGTTACCCTTACAAATTTATTGTGACATAAGGATGATGACCTCAATTGGGATTATTTATAAGCCATTGGAGAATTCTTATTAATAAATAAAAAAGATATTCACTAACCAATAAAACAGGTATAAAGAAACAATTATAATTTTTATGAAAATTAATGAATAATCTAAAATATATAAGATCAGCCTTGCCTGACCTTTGGAAGAAAATGATATTGACAGATTAAAAAACATTTTTTGAATGAAAATTTAAAAAATTATGAATTACGAAAAAAAATTTTCCACAAAAAAACATGACCTCGTTACAAAACATTTTCTAAAATTGCTCACGATCACACCCATTAACCCCCTAGGCACACCTCAAAGCAGAATATGATATGAATAACAATATTAGATCCATTAACCCCCTAGGCACACCTCAAAACAGAATATGACATGAATAGCAATATTAAATATTTTATATAAATAATTACAATATTCAAGGAGTGTAAAAATACAAGAGATTAGAAAAAGTACGAATAAATTAAAGTAAAGCCTGGTTTCTAGAAATTAGGATATTAAGGTTTTTAGTATTATTGAAAATCAGATTAGTACTCACAAATTAGGGCGATTCACCAATCTCTCCCTTATCCGATATTTCAGATAAAACTTATCCAAAATTTAGATTTTTATTTTCCATCTTTAATATTTACCCCAAAGTTAATCATCTCATTTAAAATAGGGCAATGTTTATAGCTAGACTAAATGGCATGTTAAATGTTTTTAAATCTCTTGCTACTTATATAAATAGCTCATTATATGGGGCTTTTGGTCCTATCCAGGTTTTTTACAACAGTCCATATCTCCCCCGATCTGATTTACTATCGAAACATTGATCATATCATTTTAAATTAAGGTCGAGTAAAACTTGTCCCTTAAGTCTATTTCTAATAAGAGATATAAATCTTAATAAATTTAAAGAAGTATGATATAAATTTAATAATTTTTCATTATACTATAAAATAGTCTTAAGAAACCAGTCTTGAGTTAGAACAATGGTTGATTTAAAATGTAATTTGGCATAATATTTTTAAATTAATTAAAATCACAAAAAACCAAATTATAAACGAATTGAAATAATTTTTTCTACCTTTTAAATTTTTTTACCCAATTTTTTACTGCGATTTATTTTCCACCAGGCTTACGTTAATACTAAGTTAATAATTAATTTATCTTGCGAATCTGAAAATTTACGATTTGTATGAATAATAAAATTATTAGGTTCGAAAATGATGTATTGGATTATTAGAATTTGCACTATCTTTCAAGCAATGAAATATATATGTATTTAGAAATCACTAGAACTCATAATTTTAATAATTTAGATAATTATGCTAATTAAATCAAAGATAATCAAAAAGAATGCTACACTTTGTTCAAATTGTTTATTTTTTTATAAAATAATAAAAATTCAGTAATAAAGTACACAATATTCTTATGTTATTTAATTATAATAGAAATAGAGATTTTTTCAAAGAAATTTTTTCCGAGATAAAAGATATTTTTGCCAAAAAAATAGATTTAAATTTAGTAAGATATATGTAATTTTTTGAAAGTGTTTTGATATTTCAAAACAATATGAATCTAATTTTAGAGACATCTATATGTTTTCATGATCTTGAACTCGAACATTAAATTGTTGATATAGGATATGAATTATGAAATGATCAATAAATAGTAAAAAATTCTTATGTATTTTAAGGATACGAATTTTAAATTATAAATCTTATTACAAATGGGCGGAAAAGTGGCTCCGTAGGCATGTTTAGTTACACCACAATTCTAAAACTTAACACGTCTATATGAGTGTTTAGTCTTGATATATTTGTAATTACTTAAAATAAGTAGCACCCTTTAATTTCTGCCAAAGTTTATTTTGTAAGAGGCAAATGTCATATTCAAATCTTTAGATAAATGAAAATTATTTGATATATTTTTTGATGAATTTTCGATAAATTTGGGTAGAGAATAAATTAAATAGTATATTGAATATAAAAAGTTTAAATTAATATATTAAATGTTAAAATGTAACAAAATGGCATATTTTTGAAAAAAATTGCAACTCTTAACAGGTGAAAGCCGCCATTTTCAAAAAATCAGTTGATTCTCAAAAAACGATGGTAATTTGCGTCTATATTCCAAATTTTGTGAATTTAAAATATAAGATATCAAAAAATGTTGTCATTATAAATTAATGTTGTCATACATTCAATAAACAAGCTATCAATATTATTTCAGGTAATTAGCTCGCTAATTACTATATATTTTTAAAAATTAAAAGTACTTTATCGATAAGCACAATATAACGAAAAAGTATTGTTGCGATAAAAATGAACTTACGCCTATTATTTTTTATTATAATAGAATAAAATACTATCTATATTATATTTAATTTGGAGCGAGTGGCGATTACTTATGTGTTTTGTTTTATTAAACACTTAATACTGACCTGATAATAAGGGAGACTGGGTTATCTTTTGAAATTTTGTTGTAAATTATATGCTAAAATTACTGTTGTTGAACCGCTTGATTTTTAAAAATAACTACTCCAATATTTGCGCTAAGTAATATTACGCAAATCTGTAGATTTTGCTCATAGATGGCAGAAAGGCTTAAAATTTCGAGGCTGCGTAATATTATTAGCAAAATTCTTAATTTAAATTTGGCGAAATCGAGCTGTTTAACAATACAGGCTAATATGATGGCCTCACCCATCTAAAGGAACCTCAGTAATCCTTAACCATACTAGTAGGGTTTAGTCTTAAATTTGCCTTATTCTCTGGGTTAAACGGCATTATACTTTGTTACTTGTCACAATTGATCTTTTTAAATCTAAATTTTTAAATATAGGAAGATATTTAAAATGGTTGTATAATTTTTTCAAAGTCGGAGTTTGAATAGTTAAAGGGTCCCATAATAAGCGAATATTAAATAGATTATTACATTGCGAAATGTTTTATAAAAGTTTGCTTCATTCATTTTTTAATTATTCATTTGCAATTTAATAAATTATGATCAATGAGACCAAGTTAATTTCATTAACAGATTAATTGTCGATTTAGATTTATAAATGATTTCTTCGAAAAAAAGTTTATGATTTTGTGTTGTTTTGGATGTTTCATTAATCCTATTAACAAATATATAAATCTTAAAAGCTAGTGTTGCTAAACGGCTTGATACGATTTTAAAAAACCGCTAACTCAATATTTAGCAGAAAATATTGTCTGAGCCTCGAGATTTAACGAATAGATGTCCAAAACTTTCTGCGATCTGTGACCAAAATCTTCAGGCTTGCGTAATATAAAAATTAATATGGCTTATGTTCTCCCTGTTGTAATGGTATGAAGAAAAAATATATTCACTAGCTCATTCTTATTTTACTTGTGATGTATGTCTATAGAACTTTGAATGGTGAAAACAATTTAAAGTCTTATTGACTTCTATTTTTCTCTTACATAAAATTAATGTATGAAATAACATTTCAATTTTTCCTTTACAAACTCAAAATATATGATTGCAATTTTTCATATATATGGTAGGAACACCAACCAACTTCATTAATTATCTATACATCTTGCAAAATTAAATGATTTTTGTATCATTTGGATTCTTAGTTTTTATCAAATCAAAAGATGACAAAATACTTTTCTCTAGAAATTATGTCAATACCAAAATATGTCAGACCAGATAGTCATTAAAAAATAAATGTGTAATTTACTTAATTAAATTTATCATTTAGTTAAAAAGTTGCCGACCAGCCCCCTTTTATTTATTTCACCAAAAATATCGCTAAAAAAATGCTTATTTAACTGAATAGTCTAAAATGGTATTGACAAAAATATCTAAGATCTGGAATAACTGTCCGCAATCTCCTTTATAGTGAATACATATTTAACCATACAATGTGGGTTTGGAATATTTTAGTGTCTATTTTTATAATATATTAAATGAATTTTAATACTATTTCTTTTAGAAAGATTAATTCTTACATTGATTATTTCATTAAGAATCAGAATAAAAAGGTCATTTTGATAGTATTTAGGTATATTGTGATGATTATTTCATTTAAATTTTATTGCTCATGAGTTTTGTAATATTTAAACGCTGGTGACATAAGTTCGTGCCATAAGATAGCAAAATTATCAGAATCAGTCAATTTTTCACATGACACCTAGATTTTAACAAAATTTGAAATATAAAATAAACAAATTTTTTTTCATAGGAGATTTATGTAGTATAGTTATTATTTATTTAATCCTTTACAAAATTTCAGAAATTTGAACCCGTCGCAGATGCTAAAAAATCTATCTCTTAAGTGCTAAAACATTTTTCAATTTTTTTATCTTTCTATCATTTATCTTTTTCTAGTAATCTTATTTTAAGTGTTGCAAAATGTGCAACACGTCTTTTGAACTTTGACGCACCTATTCTCCCAAACTAATAGAGGAAAATTTTTCAATCATCGAAATTCTTAACATAATTAATCGCTAAAAAATTCATTTAAAAGATTCATCGATATTCTCATTTCATCTAAAATGACCCTTCGATAAAGGAACGTAATATAATAAATTCATTCTTTAGAATGGATGTAAATAAAATCGTAATAAAATTTTCAAACCTATAGCAAGTTATAGTTTTATAATATCTTTTTTAGCAATTTGATAACTTATTGAATTATATTCCTTTAAAATTTGCTTAAAACATGATATTTAAAAAAATTAGTCGATAAAAGATTTTAAATTTTTTTTAAAAAAATAAATATAAATAGAAATGGCTGTCATTATAAGGTTACAAAATCTTCCACTAGCTGCTGATTCATTAGACATTCGTGAGTTTTTCAAAGGTCTGAAAATTCCAGAGGGTGGTGTACACATCGTAGGTGGAGACAATGGTGATGCGTTCATAGGTTTTGCCACGGATGAGGATGCTCGTCAAGCAATGAATCTCAATAACAAAAAAATTAGGGACGACAGAATAAAGCTTTTATTATCCTCAAGGACGGAAATGCAAAACGTCATATTAGCTGCAAGGGAACGTCAAGCAAAGTTGATTGCTGCTGCCTTAAACAATCCTAACGCCAATGAAAAAGATATAAAAAATAGTAAAGATGATAAGAGTCTGAGAGGTCACAGTGGCCAAAAAGATAAATACGCACACAGCAGTTCTAAAAATAACGGTAATAAATCCATCTCGCCTGACAAATTTAGGAGACGGAAGTCATCTAGGTCTCGTTCTCCTTCTAAAGATAGGGATAGATATAGAGAAAGATCTTCACGACATAGATCTAGGTCTCGTTCTTCCAGCGTGGAAAGAAAGAAATACAAAGATAATGTACAAGGGCGCGAAGTAATTACTTCTAAGTACAATGATTATAGATCTAAAAAGTATGATAAGGATCCTATAAGTTACATAACGTCGAGCTCTAAGAGTAACGAAGCCCACGATAAAAGTAATGTAATTTCTCAAAGTGCAAAGAATTCCATTTCTGTTCCAATAAATTCTGCATATGCCCCCTCTCAGAGTGTCTACAATACTCTTTCGAAACCTCCCATGCCTTCTACGCAATCTTTTAATATTCCTAATGTCAACAATTTATTAATCCCTATTCAACCGAACTCCAGCAATCTGCCAATCCCTGTTCAACCGAATTCCAGCAATCTGCCAATCCCTATTCAACCAAATGTTAATAATGGGTTAATAACTATTCAACCCAATTTAAACGCACAAATAATTCCACCTTACTATCCACCAATTTCTACTCAAAATATTCCTTCGATTAACATGATTTCTCCTCTAATTATGAATCCTCCTTTTAATCCCGCATTAACATTAAGTCAAAATAATTTAATATCAAATCAACCAGGTCTATTAAATAATTTCCAATCAAACATGTCTTACAATAACTATAATTATACGAGTCAAGATCTTCCGAATTTGGAACTTAATATGCCTTTGTTTTTTTATGCAGAGATTAAAAATTTGCCAATCAACTATAGCGCTAGAGACGTCTGGCAGTTTTTCTCTGATTGTGATATAACGGCGGACAATATGTTCCCAATAATGGATGATATGAATATGCTAACGAATCGTATTATGATAAAATTTAATTCTGCACATAGTTTTCAGCGAGCTATTCAAAAGAATGGCCTACAGTTTATGGGTAATCCCTTAGAGGTAGTACACTCCAACGAGCAAATGTGGTTGAAATGCATGGCGGTCAAAAATAATATATCGAATGTTAATCGCGCCAATCAAAACTCATTACTAGGACCATATAACCAAGCGGTATCCAATAGGAATAATGTATCTTATACCACAAATATGATTAATAACAATGAACCTTTTGTAAATAATGTTTTTACTCCAAAACCCGATAATAACATAGGATTTTGTGTCAGACTAAGAAATTTAGCTTATGAGGCCAAATCACCAGATATTCAGAATTTTTTCAAAGATATTCCTCTCATTAATTTGCACATAGAACAAAAGGAAAATGGTAGAATCACTGGAGTGGCTTATGCCGAATTTTCAAATAAAAACGATTATGAGTTTGCTTTACAATTGCACAAATCTAATTTTTTCGAGAGAACCTTATTTATTGAGCCAATAAATAAAGCAGAAGTTGTTGATTTAGTGAAAGATAATTTAAAGATGATCGCAAAAAGCAGCCATATGGGCACCTATAATAAACGAAATTTTGATAAAAACTTTAATAACTCTCATCCAATAATATCGGCTATTCATATTAATGGTTTGCCATATACCGTCCGTATAAATGACTTAATTAGTCACCTTTCTCGGTTCGGGTTTAACCCCAAAGAAATACACATTTTGAGAAAAAATGGGAACCCTATCGGCCAGGCGTTCGTTGAATTTTTTAATGGCAACGATGTGCACAAAGCTATAACCAGTTTGCATGGTAGTTTTATAAGACCTGATGCCCCTTTAAAAGTTGTCATAGCTTCTAATCCCTTCGAAATAAATATGTTTTTAAAACAGTTTGATGTGGTAAATTGGTTAGATGAATATGATCCGCCATGTGATACAGGGAATGCCAAACCAAATAATTATCCTAGAAACGATGACCAAAGGAGTAAATCTTATGTACCTCGAAGGAACACGCCTGGAGATATTGCCGTAAATAATTTTTCAAACCCTTCACTTCTACAAAATCGATCAAGAGCTTCTCGTATAAAAATTACTAATATACCAGAAGATGCTTGCGCTGATGATATTATAGATTTGTTTAAATCATACAATTGCTTGGCACAATCAATACATATGGTCCATTCACCTAGTGGTAAACCTATAGGAGAAGCCATTTTAGCGTTTCCCACTTCTGCTTTAGCACAAAAAGCTTTAGAAGGTATGAATGATAAACCTTATAAAAATAAGAAATTGCATATTGTTATTCACATTTAAATATTTTACTATGATTATAATATATATTTGTAATTTTTATTTATAATATATTTTAGAATTAGTATTTAATTTATAATAAAAAATTTGACCATTAATACAAATATTTTGCTCTCTGAAAAATCTGAGTGCTAAAGAAATTATAGAAAATCACGGATATTTTTTTATAATTATACATTAATTTTTTGAGTATAAATGAGTAATTGGCGTCAAAAAGGAACAAATATTGCTCAGCAACACCTAAATTTTTTTTAAAAAATCCTAAATCAAATATTTTATTAACGCGAATAATATTTCCGAATATCAATTCGAATAAAGAATTAAAATTGATTCAAAGTAAAATAAAGTTAATTTTGATTTTTCAAAATATTAACATATATAAGTATATTTTTTTAATCTTTCATATTATACATGAATATTTAAATCATACAAATGCAAAAAATATACTCAATAAAATTATTTTTATTATTTAAGGATTAGAATGTAGAATGTTCATTAGAAGCACAAAATATAAGTTATTATTTTTTTTGAAAATGTTAACGTTTTTTCTTTTCAATATAAAGATCAATACGAAAATACTTTTGCTAATTAACAATCATGAGATTCAGGCGCCGTGGAGTTCCGTCGTATATTTGGCTGTTTTCGTAAATATAATTTTTAGCTAATAAAAATTTTCCCCTCCCTCTCCCCCAAAATATATACAATATATAACTAAAGAAAAATTAATTTTTTTTGTATAAGCTAATAAATTTTTAAAAATAGCTATAATTCCAAATTTTTAGAAAAAACACTTATAAAATAATGTCTACACTTAATTATTTTTATAAAAATCTAATATAACCAAAGCCTACAATAAGTGGACCTAAAAACGTCCAATAAAATTTATGGGGCACCCTACCTAATAATAATCCCCTCTGCAAAATCCTGGATTCACCTATGACGAGATTATATACATTAAAATGGGAAAAGTATTTCACGAATATATCAACGAATCATGAAATGTCGCGATTTTAATCATTTCGATTGAAATTCGTAGTTGACCTGGAAATAATGATTAACCTTATTTACAAAAATTTAGAATGAAATATAGGGAGTAAATTAACTACAACAAACATTAAAATATTGATTAAGTTCTTGGATATATTTTTTAATAAGTTTTAAAATTAACATAATAAAGATGAATGGAGAAAATATTCAAGGGATGATTTTATTTTGAAACTATGCGAATAAATATTTATATTTTGTAAATACCTTAAAAGATATTTTACTGGGAATTTTATTATATTAAAATATATATTTATATGCATTAACATTACCTTATAAAGTCTCATTTCAAACTTACTAATATTTTACGAGGTAAAATAGTGATTAAAAATTGAAAGCTATCAAAATACTACAAATAAGCAAATTATGATATAAGACAATTGAATCAGGCATACCAGGATTTTCTACCCCCCCCCCCCCCTCCCTCCATGAATTTTATTGGAGATCTTAAGGCCCACTTATTGTAGGTTTTTGGCTATATTAGGTTTTTATAAAAATAAATTATGGTGATGAATTAGAGTCTTTAGATTCTAACGTTAAAATATCCTGATACAGTGTTGCAAGAAATTAATAAGTGTTTTTTAAAAAAGAAAATACCGTATACTGGTCAATCTAATCGGATTATCGTTAATTGTCAAAAAAGCAAATCACTTTTGTTCCTTTCTAATTTTTACAAATTTTTAAAAATGAATTAATTTAATCATCGAATCTAAATGAAGGCGCTCAACTTTGTTATTAAAGGGGGAGAAATTAAATTTAACAATAAAAATTTTGGTCAGGAAATTGATTAAATAAATGTATTTAGTTCTTAATTTTCTATAAATTTGACCATATATTTCTTATGAAATGTTTTGCTGACATTTCATTCTGAGGCGCTTAATTTTCACTTTAAAAAGAAGTTGGTTATTTTTTCAAATTTGAGCTTGAAGTAAATATTTTACTATAGTAGAACTTTACAGTGTCACCAATGTAATCATGATTTACTCAATTAGGATTTTCAAAATCGGATATGTATTTTTTATAAAACTTAAGATTCACGTTATAATATATTGTGTTAAAGACCACTTCCTATTTAAGTTTATGCCTAGCTTCATATATCTATCCCTGACGGTGATTTTTGAATACGTCTTCGCCAGTCAGCTCTCATCATGCCGTCACCGATTTAAAAATTTGTCAGTATGGCAACGTGATATTTATTTTTGATTATTATTAAATAATATGTTTATTGCATTTGGAATAATAATTATTATTTTAAGAATAATAATGAATATATTTTTAAGAGATTCAAATTTATTAAAAATGCGGTGTCATTTTATTAAATATTATTTGCTATAGAAATCTTTTATAAAAAATATTAAATAGTAGAATAACATTAAAATAGATATTATCAAGAAAAATTTAAATACAACAGATACATTTTAAAATAAATGATATATTTTATTTCTTTTTCTAAATTGAGCAATTTAGATAAATATACTTTTAATCAGGGCTGTGAGCCCTCCCTTAAAAAGTGTTCGGTTTTGAGTTAAGTGAAAAATGTCTGAACCAGGTTTGGGTTCAGGGTTTGATGTTATATTGAATATGTTTTATTATATAAATATTTTACATGTTATTTTTTTAAATATATCTTTCACTGTTCAAATTTTTTATAATTTAAAATATCTGACCGTCCAGATCTGCTAATGAGTTTCTTGAAGCGATTCCCTTAGTTAATTTATAATAACAACTAAACCAAAATGAGCTCACTCACGCCATTATTATTCGTTTTAACTGCTTAATAACCCAACCCCACGCTTGTTCCGGCTGTAGTTCAACTGTCGAGGGCAGCTAAAGATATAGCCTTCATTGCCGTTCTAGTAAAGGTCGAATTGTTAGACATAATTTTTGTAATTCGTTCATCCTAAAAGCTTTGAGATCAGCTCAAATTTTATCTCTTCTTGAACCTCTAAGTCTTTTCAGATCTTATGGGAAACATACAGATTTCTCAAATTCCTTGAAAGCTAGGCCAATTCCTGGTTTGGGATTACTCATGCATTAATCCATTGGCTCCCTCCAATCAAACTTAACATTCTTAAGAAAATGAAGCAATTAAAAGTAGCAAAACATTGAGAATTTTACAAGAATATATTCATTCCGATAATTTCCACTCTAGTTGTGAATCGCGTTTTATCCTTTTTAAAGAACTTGGTTCTCACATTAGTAAACCTATGGATGAACCTCGTGAAGGGTTCTTGATAAAAATTTGCCATTGCTATTCATAAGGCTAATTACCTTAAATTTATGAATAGCCTCATCCCATAAGATGATTATTTTTAATATTAATTATTTTTAAATTAAATATATAATTTTTATTTCTTCTTCCAATGATATAAATTGTAAAATTTTTTTTTAATTTTTCGAGTTTTTTCAACAATATATTATATTTTTATATATAAATCAATAAAAATCAAAAAAAAATCACAAAATAAAAATTAAGTTATAAAAATTTAGTTTATCCTTGAACTAGAGTCCTTCGAACCCTGATATTTTCCTGAACCAGAACCACGAATCTCTTTTTAATTCTGAGTTCAAGAATTTTTATTCATTTTTTTAAATTATAAAAAATTAGAACAGTATACTAATAAAATATATATTAAAAAATAAAATGTAAAATATTTATATAATAAAATAAAACATAAAATATAAAAAATAATTGTTTTTTTATTTTCAATATTAGAAACATTTTTTGTGAAAGTCATTTTTCGTGGAATCGTTTTTTATTTTAGTGTATCCATTTTAGGTAAATTTAATAATTTTCAGGACACTGAACCTTGAATACACTTAAACCCTAACCTTGTTCAGAGATTTTTTATTGAACCTGAACCCTTTTTTTAAGGAGTGATGACAGCTCTTTTTAAGGGTGTGAAATTAAAATGCCACCTTCAATCGATCATTTAAAAAAGGAAGAAACCCTATCGCCTATAGGCGCACAGGTACACTCCTATTTATTTTAATTGCTTAGAATTAAAGTTGAAATGCAAAGAATGTAAATATTTAGAGAATAAATGTTATGTATTAAATATTTTATATTATCAAGTGTTTATATATAAGTAATTTTAAAACACTAATTTAAAAGAATATTATAATAAATTATAGATTTAATGTTTATTCACTGTTTTAATTTGAATTTTGTGTTATATAAAAAATTTTTTAAAGTATCCCTTAAAGTTTTAATTTAATTAAATTTAATATTTGACAGTTGTATTTGGATTACTATAAGCAGTATTTCTATTCTATTTATTCTTATTCTATATTTTCTCTCTACTAAATCAAATTATCTATTATAACGGTATTGTGTTAGTCCCACTCACTTATTTAATTTTATATGGGTATAAGGTTTGTTGGTATCCTTGAGAAAAAAATCGGCATAATTATATGAAAGGTAGGCCATCATATAATTCACGTTCGCTCATTTTGGGCAGCTCTCTGACCAACGTGCTAGATAAGATAAGATAAAATGTCTAATTTACCGCTAATATTTTTTTTACAATCTTAAATGTTATTGGCAAAGGAATTAAGCAAATTGTCGAGATCTTTATATTTTTTTAAATCTTTTTGGTTTCGGCATAGGCTAGAGATTGATTGTGTTTAAGGGGAATGAAGAGATGCAAATGTAATCGTATATTAATGATTTCTCTAGGGCCCAAGGGATTCGTCATACCATCAAGTTTTAATTCATCTGCTTGTGAGAAGCGAGTGTGCTCGAGATGGTTGAGAATGTGTACTGATGTTAAGCCTCGAATAATAATATGATTTATTGTGGTGGCGCAGGTGTCTCCCTTTGCTATATATAGAATTTAGGCCAGGTCTACCCTTTGAATCAATTGATGAATTGTATTTGATACAAAAATCTGTATAGTAGTAGTTTTTATGTTCCATTGATATTGTAATATTAATATGGGAGACCGGGGCAAATCGAGCCTAATTTTATTGAAACTCCTAAAAATAGCTTAATATTATCGGAAAATATTGATTAATACCTCAAACGGTAGCTCTCTAACGT